AAATGCTCTCAGTTAAAACCCTCGCTCTGCCTTCCCTGCTAATCTCACTCGCAGGCCATTGCTCTGTACCCGCTGCTCTTCCCTTCTGTGCCCGCTGCTCCGTGCCCGCTGCTCCGCCATGAGCGCTCCGGATGAGATGGCTGGTGGGCTCACCGAAACCCGGCCCGCCACGGCCGAAATCCAGGCCATCGCCGACAAGGTAGGCGGCCCGGTCCTCCCAAGCCGAGTCGGGTCCCGCCCTGTCCGCACAGGGGCAGCATCGGCCAGGTCGCGGAGGGTATAGATGCTGGGACAGAGACCCTGGGCCTAGGCTTGGAGAGGGAAGGGCCTGGTGTGCTTGTCCTCGGGCGGTTCCGGTCAGTGAAGCTGGGGAAGGGTCTGCAGGGGTCCTAACTTCCGCCCTGCCTTATTCCAGGGCTCCTTGTGCAAGTAAAACAAAAACAGACACCAGGCTGGGATGCAGAGGCAGAGCCTGGTTCAGACCCTGGGCAGCGCTTGACTTCTGTACCTCAGTTTCCTCGTCTGTAAAGTGGGCATCACTGGGGGGCCTTCACCAAAGGTTCTGGGGAAGGTGGGAGGGTGGGGCCACAGGAAGGCTCAGGTTCTGAGAAGACACGAAGTCCAACAAACCTGCCGAGTCCCTAACCCCATAGAACCGCACACCCCACTCCACCCCCTGTGATCAGGTGGTTTAGAGTCTAAACTTTAGACCATTTGACCACAGTAATGGACGGTGACTCAGTCCCATGAGACTTTGAAATGAGGAATTTGTAGGGACTGCGTGGTGAGCCAGTTGGGCGAGCTTCCTCTCCCAAGTGGCTCCAGAGCCCAGCCTCCCCTGAGGTTCCCGGGTACCAGGCCTAAGGAATCCTCACTTGCTGCCTGAACTTTGAATGGGCATCAGCTCCCTCAGGAGAGAGGAGTTTCTGTCTCAGGCTCCCTGATGTGGTGCTGGACACTTCAAAGTGACAAGTAAGGGGGTGGTCACCATTGCCTCTGGGAGGCAGTTCTTGAGGGCAGGGTTTTGTCTGTGGCTCCTAAGGACAGGGCAGGGACAATGTCTTGCTCCCTGAGGTACTCACTCCTCCCCAAGCTCTGTGGGCTGCAGGTGTGGAGATCAGAGGTCAGAAGGATGTCAAAGTCCCAAATTCTGGCTCAGCCTCCTCAAGTAGTGCCCACCAGTCCCGACCTTGGCGTTCCCTGGCCCTCTGCAGTCTCCCGGCCTGCCTCCACTCCTGAGACAGGCCAAGAGGGAGGCCATTCCTTCCCAGACTCCCGTGTGCGTTTGTGTGTGTCACTCATCCCCATAGGCTTGCCCACCTTCTGCAGGGTCAGATCCCTGCGGACCAGACATGTCACCTTGCACGACAGGTAAGCACTGAGACACAGGTAGGCCTGCAGTGAGAACCCTGCCGGCCGCATGGGGAGGGCTGAGGAGGGGCAGGAGGGACCTGCCTTCTCCCTCCTGACCCTCCCTCCTGTCAGCTGCTGACTCCATTCTCCCTCCATTCTTATCCCTGGTTGGGGCCCATCCCTGAAGGCGCCGACAGGCCACATGCCTCATGCCGGCCACGAGTTTGACAGGCTTGGTCCTGATTTCGAGGAATAATCTGTAAAGGGTGGGCCTTAGAGGTCAGTTTGTAACATTTGACATGCGGCTGCAGCTCCCGTGTCAGTCACTCTTGCAGGAAGGAAGACACTGAGTTCCCCTCTCTCCTGCCCCCTAGGTGAAGCCCCAGCTGGAGGAGAAGGAAAGCAAGAACTACCCCATTTTCAAGGCCACGAAGTACAGGAGCCAGGTGGTCGCGGGGATTAACTACTTCATCAAGGTGGAGTGTCCGCTACAGGGGTGCTCATGCAGACGTGGGGAGGTGGGGGACTTACAGGGGCCAGAACAGGGGTACTTAAGGGGGTTCCAGTAGCCCTGGCTCATGTGGCTCAATGAATAGAGCACCAGCCTGCACACCAAAGGGCCTCAGATTTGATTCCCCATCAAGGGCAGGTACCTGGGTTGCAGGTTGGAACCCTGGTCTCAGTTGAGGCGCATGCAGGAGGCAATCAATCAAAGTATCTCTCTCTCTTTCTTTCTCTCTAAAAAATCAATAAATGTTTTAAAAATATTAAAATGACTGTGCATGCACTCCTGCAGGCCTCCATGGAGGAGAGGACTGAGCCTTTTGGGCAACTAAGGGCTCTGAGGAGCGGATATAGCGGGCCAGGGGTGCTGGCTGGGGTGCTGGGCATCTGCTACGCCCGAAAGAAGAAGATGGGGATGTCACCACCCTAGTTGATGATGCCCTGAAAGGACTCAGCCTCCAGGCTCTCAGGCCCTTTCTCACACAGTCCACCAGGCACAGGAACTTGGGGTCAGAGTCCACACCTGCCCCCCTCACTCGACTCTCTTTGCAGGTTCAAGTTGCAGATGATGACTACGTGCACCTTCGAGTGTTTCAAGGTCTCCCTCCTGAAAGCCAGATCATCTTGAGCAAATATCTGACCCACAAGACCAAGGAGGACCCAATAGTCTATTTCTAGTTCTCGATTTTGAACTGGACCTTTGCCCTGTGGTTCTCTGTCACTTGTTCCCATGCTGGGGTCAGAAATGAACGCTGTCTCCTGCTGTGCCACTCTCTCTGGAGGGGCTGCTCTGCACCAACCTGGTGTCTCTGCTTCTGACTTTAATCGCTTGATTTTCCTCCAAACCAATGATCTTAACTAAATTGCTTTCCAATTGGGCTGAAGTGATCTCTAAATAAATACATTTTTAAGTTTTCCCAAATTTCATCCTTTGCTGTGGGTTTTGTTCTTCATCTGAAACCACAACCACCATAGACGTGTTTACAAAGGTCTTTCATGGCCACTCGCCGGGCCTGAGGCCCTCCCCCTGAGGAGAACCCAGCGGGGTTGCCCCAGGTCCCAGCCAGTGGGTGGTCGACCCGGGGCCCCAGGAGCCGCTCCAATTACAGCTCTTCACTCTGCTGCCTGGACTCTGCATCCTGTCTCCAGGCCTCGGGTGCCCCCGTAAGTAAAAGGATGCGAGTTAACCCGGTTCTAGACCATGACTTCTAGGTGTGCTCAGTCACACTGTTTCCGTAGCAGCAATGACACGGCAGGGACCAAAGTGTTGTGCAAACCTGCAGCACAGCTGCTCAGAACCGGCGGCCTGGGAGGCCGTGCCACTCATCCCCTGGGCTGCGGGCACCTGCTCAAAGCCTGAGCCTCTGGAAGGGCCCGTTTCAACAGGGTCCTGCCCGTCAGTGCTGTCAGTGCCTCATTGGTTTCTCCCGTATTTGTGTGAAATAGATTAAAAAGAGGGCCCCTGACATCATAGGAGTAAGGGCTATTTGGTGAAATTTCTGTGTTGCTCAGGGTCAAGGTAGAAGGTAACAAGGTAACCCTCAAGATAACATTCCTGAGGGTTAATGTCGGTCTCACATTCCTGAACCCGACTCAGCTCCCCTGGTCATGTGGCATTGTGTCTGTGTCCTGAGGTCATGGGAAGCGTGGAAGGGCGGGGCGGTGAGCATGAGGAGCCTGGAGAGCAGCAGTGAGAAATCTCTGCACAGTGAGCTGTGTGCGTCCCCGTCCCTCCATGAACTGGAAGAATAAAACTTTCATTACACCCACTTTGTGTCAAGCAACTCCTCACTGAACAGAAGATGGAACACAGTTCCCACCTGGGACTTTCAGGGACCGGCTGGGGAGACGGCATTGAGGGGGCTAAGCAGAGCTGACAGCCATGCCCTGCTCCGCCTGGTTAGTAATGGGTGATTGCTTAACGGTGTGGGTTGTGACCAGGGTGATGAGGCACCTGTGACAGGAAAGGGGAGACAGTTACACAAGGCTGGGAGGTACAAGTGCCCTGGGCTGTGCAATTGAAGTGACTCAGGTGTACTTCCTTCCTGTGAATTTCAGCTCACTAAAAACTTAGCACAAGAC